TCTCTGTCACCCCCTCCAGCCCCTACACCCCCTCCAAGATCTGTGGCCTGTTGAGCATCTCCGATTCCCATCGGCTCCTGGGACGGGGTTCCTGCTCTTGGGAATTCCTTACTGAACCCACTCCTCCCACTCCACTGTCTCCCTGCTCTGTAGCTTAACCCCCGACCCTTGTGCCAAGTATAGTACCCGTTAGCCCCTTCGTATGTCCTCGTGCAACAAACATGAGGAGGTTCTGCGTAAACCATTAGAAGTTCCTCCTGCTCTCCATTTGCAGAGACCACCCCCTTCCTCACCACTCACCTGTGGTGTGTTGGGCCACCCAGCCATGTGTGCCCGCAGGAGTGGGGCGTGGGGCGGGGATAGCTAAATGCAGCTGGATATGGCTGACTCTCTGCCCCCCACTCTCTGTGTGCCGTGTGTAGGTGCTATCCGTCGAACAGCTGAGAAACCTGGGCCCAGACAACGCTGCGGCGGTGACCGAGGCTCAGAAAGAGCAGCTGGACACAGAGCAGCAGGCGGCTGTGATGGAAGCTCTGGGTATTTCTCCTCGGGCTCTGCTGCCCCTCGGTAGGTACTGAGCAGCCTCTGCCATTCAGCCACGTCCCCCTTCTGTCACTCTCTGGCTCCAACCTTTCGTTAAAATTCATCTTGTGGGACGTGGGAGTCTCTGGCCGGGCTCAGCATTTCTTGCCCCGTCCTAGTTGCACCCCCCCCCACCCGCCTCGAGAAGGTGGGAGTGAGCTGCCTTCTCAAACCACTTCACCCTCAATGCACATTAGGGAGGGAATTCAAGGATTTTGACCCTGAAGGAACGGGGATATACTTCCAAGTCGGGGTGGTGAGGGGAACTTGCAGGGGAGTGGCGTTCCCATTGATCTGCCGCCCCTTGTCCTTCGAGATGGAAGTAGTCGTGGGTTTGGAGTAGGGGGGAGAATAGGAGACTGGCTCCCGTGGGGATTTGGTTGGGGGGGCGCGATGGGGGACTGGCTCCCACGGGGAGTGCAGGGTGAGAGAATGAGGGACTCGCTCCTGCGGGGATTGGTGGAGGTGGGGAGAATGGGGGACTTGCTCCCACAGGGAGTGGGGGGAGAATTGGGGGGCTCGCTCCCGCGGGGATCGGGGGGAGGGGGGGGAGAATTGGGGGGGCTCGCCCCTGCGGGGAGGTGAACAGCAGAGGTACGTGAGGGAGGAACACTGGATAAACACGAGGGCGAGAGTGACAGAGCATGGGGGTGCAGGGTGGTGATCTCTGCGCAGCACTGACACCAGTACAGAGCAGAGGGGCCGAAGGGCCTGACTCGGTGCTGCACATCCTGTTGTAATCTCTCTCGGATGACTGACCTGCCTCTCTCTCTTGTTCCTCCAGTTGTAGCGCGTGGTCCCAGACTGGGCGCCTTTACAATGGCTCTCATGGTGAACACACTGTGGTCGATGCCGCTGCTGTTTGTGTGAGATTTGAAGAAGGAGGAGGGATGGCATCACTCTCACTGCTGCGGCCCTCATAAGGTGCCCGACCATGCAGCAGGCTGATTGCTGGCGTTCAATGCTGCCCCTCGTCTCCTGGCTCTTCGGAAAGAAACACTAGCTTTTAAAACCTATTTTCTCTGAATTCCTCAACGTTTCTGAGCTGAAGTAACTATTTTTGGCAAATTCCCGAATTATTCGACGCGAATCGATCCTTGTACGAGTTTGGATAAACTCTGTTACCCAGTTAATTTCATTAAAAACTAATCGCTTTCCAGATGTGGGGCTTGTGTCTTTGGTTTATGTTCAAAGCAAAAAATATAGTCATACCGCTCAAGCTGCTTGGCTGATGGGTACAGTGTGGGGTTACTGTTCTGGATGGTGTCGAGCTTCTCGAGTGTTGCCCCCATCCAGGGCAAGTGGGGAGTATTTCCCTCAGCCTCCTGCCTTGTCGATGGTGGGACAGGGCTTTGGGAGGGGAGATTCAGGAGGGGAGTTCCTCGCTGCAGGATTCCCAGCCTCTTACCCGCTCTTATAGCTGCACTGTCGATGCGGCTGGGTCCCAGCTCAGTTTCTGGCCAGTGGTCACCCTCCCGAGGATGTTGACAGTGCGGGGGGGGGGTGGATTTAGTGATAGTAACGCCACTGAGCATCAAGGGGCTATTCTTGCTGGAGATGGTCATTGCCTGGTATTTTGTCAAAGTAACTTGCCAATTACCCACACAAGCCTGCAGTTATATTATTCAGATGGGTTTCACAGAGCAGGCCTGTGCTACCTTGCGTATAAAGTGATGAAGGAGAGAGAAGTGTGTGTGTGTGTGTCTGTGAAACTGGGCATTAATTGATTCTGTTGGTCTAATGATGATCGCTACCACTTTATCTCACAGGCGTCTGGAGGTTCTATCAGTTCTTGTACAAATTCAGAACAACTAAAAAGATACCAATTCACTCCTGTTGGGTACTGTACAGCCCTGTGTGTGTGTCCGTGAGGGAGTGTGCACATGTGTCTGTGAGTCAGCGTGCGTGCGTTTGTTTGTGAGTAAGTGTGCA